ATGTAGCAAAACAGCTGTTCAATAAATGTGATCATTCACCAAGTGTGCTTGCTATTGCTTTTTATATTGGATTTGTTCAATGCTATGCTTTGTTACAGACTACTGTGTCAAGGGACTTGTGTTTAGTCTTTAAGCAAATACATCAAATTCTGAATCTGAATCCCTAGCCAGCTATGTACAATCCTGAGCAGTATTACACAAAAGTACTTTCAGAGTAATTGAAAATCAATGAGGCAAAAGAGTTTTGTAGGAGGACTAGAGTAAAAATTGTGAAGGAATTATGATATGCCTGTAGGTATAAAATATGTTTTTGTATATATACACACACATTTATAATTACATGTACACACAAATATAAATATATACATCCAAAGTAACAGTACTGGAAAAAAAAGAATATCTTAAAGATTCTGCTCTCTATCAAATGAATTTTCATCACAGACAGGGAAATGTACTCCTTTTAGAAGATGTTAAATTAATGAATCTGCTTTTCACACTGTATACTAGAAGGTAGGGTGGAAATCTTGCTTTAAATTCATCAGCATGAATCATGAAAATAAAATCCTGTAAAATAATGTTAGGGTATTGGTAAGTAGCTTGGTGAATAATGTAGTGAATCTTAAGCAGTTTACTCATTTAAAGTAATAATTGAATGGTGGTGGAAGCTGTTTAAAAAGTAATCCAGCTTGTCAGCCTAGCTCTGTAAGCATTTGACAGACAATTGATTCTGGTTTTGAATCAAAAAACATCAAAGAAAAGCAGGAAAAACTGGGGGAACCTTAATCTTGTCCTGAAATGACAAAACCTGACACTTTGGATGAATCTCCAAGGTCACAGCCATTAAATTCTGCTTTTAAATTTTTTAATTCAGTAATGTCCAGACTAGGGCTATACACTGGACGAATAAATGTGTTTTCTGAGGCACAATTGGCAGGATGAGTTGCATTATGTAAATTTTTACTTTTTTTTTTTTGAATGTGTTTAAAAGTCTCCTAACCAGTGTCTTTGCAGATGGATAAGGAGCTACAGAGATAAGGAGAGAGATTGTTGAGACATATATATGCATATACACCCACACTATTTTAAATTAGTGTATCACTAGTTTAAGGTATTTAACAATTAGATCATATTTTCTTTTCACAGGTAGATAAAATCCCCAAATACATTTTGTGATATTTTTTACTAATTAACTAAAGTAGGAAAAAGGAAGGACACCTCTCTCAAAACATGACTAGACCAGAGATGATCAGAGAAATAATTCCTGAGGTTACTAAACATTTGATCTAAAGCCCTTTGAGCTCAGTGGGAGGTTTTCTGTCAACTTCAACAAGATTTTGATGAAACTAGAAGTATTTTTTGTGGCATCTTCACAGGAGAAACTACAAATATAACTAAAAATAAAGGAAGATAGTTGCTTTAGCTCTTTCAAATAAAACCCCACATAATTATTTCTGGATAACAAATATACGTTGTCCGATATTTTTGTTGTTACACTAAAATTCTGGCACATATGTAAAAGTATTTAAATATATATGTGAATTGCACTTCATGAAACAACAATAATATGAACCTAAAAGTTATTTCACTATTAACTAGTCTTAACCTGAGTATTGTCAACTATTTAGAGTTTTCAAGCAAAGAATCAACATTTTGTGCTTTCCTTTAATTTTCACAACTGGGCATCATTTTTAATATTATTTTGTTTTTGCTTTATGTAGAATAGCAATAAATAATCAATTGCTGCCTTCATTTTTATGCTCATTCAGGGTCAGCTGGAATTAAAGGTGTAATTTAAAGTAAAAAGTGAAATTAAAGAGACCACTCTTTGTACCTCCTTCCCGTCAGCTGCAGTAGCAACAGGATTAGTTATTGATACTCAGTTTCAGAAAAATTTGTATGGAAAAATCACTTTCCACGTTGTTATGCCATTTGACATCCTGGAGTACAGCCCCTTCCCCAGGTCGCTTCCTATTCTTTGACCACGTAATTTAGAGGCTGGGTGCAATCCAAGAAACAATACTTTTGGCTTGCACTGCAGCAGAAGTGAGGGATTGCTTTGCTGCAGTCTCGGCTTCAGCACAGCACTGACCAGGGACAACAGCTGCTGCCTGTCAGCTGCCTCGGAAATCACCCCAGGACTGCAGGAAAAGATGCTGCCTGTGTGCTGGGAGGCACAGGGCAGCCAGCTCATGGCTACCCAGCTCTTGCATCTTTGGCTGGGGACAAGAGCCTCTGTAAGAGGCGGCAGGGAGCAGGGAAGGCTTAAGGTACGAAGTCTGTGGTAGAAGAAGAAGCTGGGAATACTGTTTATGAGCATGAGTGTGTGAAGCAGAGATAGTGATTGGCTGGGGGGCAGAGGACCTTGCTTCTCCTCTCCTTGCTCTAGAGAGACAATGGTGCTCAAGGAGAGAGGAGCCCATGAGCCCACAGCTGCATATCCAGAGGGAGCTGACAAAATCTAAGAAAGGAGCAGCACTTATACTGCTTCTCAACCTGTCTCAATATTAAATACATTATCTAAGTTAATGACTTAGGATGACCCTGTAGTCATTGGAGAGGCATGAGCTTCAGCTCATCCTTGGATGTATACCTAAACAACATAAGATAAATGTGCCCATTTTCTGCAGGGAAAGGAGAGATGGAGAGTGACGCACCCTACATTTTGAGGCAGGAGTCCTAACCAGTCTTTGGAACAGAGCTAAACTCTTTGCCTTGATGTACACTGATGAAGTAAGCTGCCCTGGATACTTCCTTTCAACCTTAAAAGAAATACAGAAGCAGTCCTAGCTTTTATATCTAAAGCTTACACTGTGCCCAGGTGGCGTGTTACAGATCACCTACCAAACTGTGGTGACCAAATGTCCTTCCTCTGGGAAACCTGTGTAGAAACACATTTACTTTCAAGTAGGCATTGGGCTCCTCAGCAATAATCTCAGCTGAGGTGTTTGTGCAGAAAACCAGAAGCAGAACCACTGCTGAGTAGAGAATTTTACAGTAAAAAACCACCAAACAATATAATTCTGCTTATTGATTTTTGGTATCTCCAGAGGTGGAAGGCACCTGTAGTGTATTTTTAGTGCTGCAGTTATGTGTGTGAGTAACTGGCTTCAACCCACATTATTTTTTTTTATTTGATTCTCAAGTATTGGCTTAATTTTAAATGTAAACTGGAAATGTAAACTTGTTGAAGTCATATGTCTCTCTTGAATTCAATAGAGCCTGAATTCTTATAGGATCAGCAAAAATAATTAATCTGAAAATGAACTAGACAAGGTTTTAGTTTTGAAAATAAATAAGAGCCTAGGATATTAATGCAACAATAAAGAGATACATTTAAGGTTTGTTCATTTTGAACCCTGTCAGCTGTTAACATAGCTTATTTAAATAAGACAGAGATAACATCTTCTTATAGGCAATAGATAATGCTACCTTTCTTATAATGCCACAGCATAAGTAAAAAAAAATAAATCATAAAACTGAAGATAAACACACTAGCAAAGTGAATCACAGAATCACAGAATCAATCAGGTTGGAAAAGACCTCTGAGATCATCAAGTCCAACTCATGACCCAACACAACCCTGTCAACTAGACCATGGCACTAAGTGCCTCATCCAGTCTCTTCTTAAATACCTCCAGAGACGGTGAATCCACCACCTTCCTGGGCAGTCCACTCCAATGTCTGATCAGTCTCTCTGTAAAGAATTTCTTTCTCATGTCTAACCTAAACCTCCCCTGGCACAGCTTAAGACTGTGCCGTCTTGTCCTACTGCTGGTTGCCTTGGAGAAGAGACTGACCCTCACCTTGCTCCAACCTCCTTTCACGTTGCTTAAAACATGACCAGTAAATCTCTGGTTCTGATATAAAAATTTAGTGTTGCTATGCATTAGCTGTGCAGAATTTCAGCATTTGGGAAAAAGATAATGGCATGCAGTGCCTTATCTCTCAAACATGTCTTGAAAACTTGCATACAGGCTCACAGTGAGAATGGCCAGGTGTTGTTACAAGGTGATGACTGCTTAGTGCCCCTCTTGAAATTATTACAGTGGGTTCAGCCTAAGGCACAGCATTCACATCTCAATTGACTAGTACTAGCAGAAATTAGAATGACCTTTTTTAAAAGACAAAAAGGTCATTGTGAACATCCAGAGCTATTTCAGAATTTAATGAAGACTGCTTTCATACAGTCCCAGTGGGGTAAGGGAAGAAGAGAGTTTGACTGCTCCTGTAACAGCACTGTTACATACTCGCTCAGATTTTGTGTTGCCTCCCGTTTCCATTACCCTTTAGGAAGTTTCTCAGTATGAGAGATACGGGACAGACTGGAAATCTAAGAACTGCAAACAAATGAATAACATATCTGAGAGTGTTTGCAAAGGTTTTTACTTGAAAGTTGCTCTTTAAGGGGAAATACATCTCCTTAGACTCTCTCTAACCAGCAGACTGTCGTTCAGCCACCTGAGGTAACCTTGAGCTGGGAGATACTAGGAGGCATGCCAGTAAGAGGAAAAGCTACAAAGAAAAGAAACTTTCACATCTATCTTGACCTTAACTCTGCTCTCCTTTGCAGAGCTGAGGGAGAAGTCCTGCTTGGTGGGGGTGGGCTGGTGTCAAGGAAAGAGAAGTCAAAGAGAGGGTCTGTAAACAGGGGATGTTTGTTGGCCAGGCAATAGCCAGGCAGCTGTGTTATTTGAGGTCAAGTGGGTTTATGTCTCTGCTAAACAGTCTAGGCAAAGGTTACATCTGTGATTTGTGTAATATTTTTTGAATTTAAAATCAGCTGGGCTTTTGCTCCAAGGGTATCAGGCACACAGAACAACCTCTTCCCTCAACCACTCTTGTCTTCAGATTCACAGACACCTGCTGACATCACATGAATGTTTTCTCTTCCTCATTGGGAATTTTGCTTAGTGTGAGGTGCTACTGCTTGTAAGGAGGAAAGAAGAGAAGGATCATACCGCGTTTCCATCCCTTCTGCATTCTTGATAGTGATGCCAAAAAATCTGGTCTGAAAAACCACTCGGAGACTTTTGTATCTCTAAGCAGCAAGGTATTTGTTTTATTCAACCTTGGGAACAAGCCAGCTCGCGCTAGACAAACTTGTTTGACTTGAAAGTGCAAAACTAAGCCATTTTATACATTTTAGAGACATGGTTACATCATTTATTTTACATATTAATATGTAGGCTAATCTCTGGGTGGAGTCTTTCCAGGCATGCTTGAGGTCTTCTCCTCAAACCTTCATTCCTCTGGTGGTCGCCAGATTTGACCTCTTCAATTTTCTTTATTAGGTGACCCGAATTCTTCAAGCTTTCAAAATCCTGGCTTCAGGCCTTCTATATCTTGTTGAAATGTCTAGTTTACCTAATTTATTACCATGTGTGTGCTACTCCTATTCTTTCTATAATAAGGCTTTTGGTCTAGTGAGCAAAACAGAACACGATATTAACCAGTGCGCCTAAAATGTTCTTCTAGCAAAACAGGTATTGGGGTTTCTTAGCAGGCCAAGATATCTCAGTTAACTCTTTTAGGCCTGACTCCCGTTTCAATAGGAAATTGTACCAACTAGCACTACCAAACACTGAAGAACAGGCTGCTCTTTGTGCCATTGATAGCAGGATCATGCAATGGGAGACTAGCAACATAGAGGAAAATACAGCTGCTGATAGAACTGTTCATGTTTAGTTTTGACATCATTTGACTCTGGAAACTCTGCAAACATGATATTACTTCCAAATCATCCAATAAAGCTTCATTAGTGATGTGTAGTTTACTTCAGAACTCAAAGGATGATCTCAAACATGACATGTAACTTGATACAACTTAAACCCTGTTCAATAGGACTACCCCACTGTTCTGACTCATTGCCTGTGAAAAAGAAATTCTCCTATCCTTGGGACACTCAGCAATGTCTTGCTTGAGATTCAGATGTGGTGTTAAAATTAATCTGAGAGAACTTTAAATCATGTCTGAGTAGGTATCCATCTCACCCTAAATATCTTGTTGATTAAAAATCTGTAAAGTAGTTGGTCACACACACTTGTTTCTAAAGAAATACCTAAAGGAGACACTTGACACATTATGCATACAAATACTGGCATACCTCTTTTTTAAAAAAAGACCTTTCTTTAAAAGGTAGGGTTCATTCTTGCTTCAGGTTTATGCTTTTGCTTGAGGACATGTAGATTTGGGATTATCAGTCTTCTGGAAAAAAAATTGACACTCCTTCAGGAGAACAAATGGAGATAAAGATATTTTGCCTGATGTGCCATTTGATGCATGACAGGATAAATATAGCATCTAAAATTTTGCTACTGATCACATGCTGTTCAGCAGGTCAGCTGTGTCAACTTCTTTCCACAGAGTTCACACTTTCTATCACCTTCTTTTAGGCTTTATCAACAGATCCCTATTCCGTGTAAATGTCCTTTCTCTGCTCCTTTGATTCTTCTTGCTTTTCTTACCCTTTCTTCCTTTTCACACTTGCTTGTGTCTTCCCCTCCATTACCCTCTTGCCTTTTCCCTTCCCTTGAGTACTGTTTCTGAGTTGTGTGGTGGTTTTTTTTCCCTGTGACCTTAAAATATACCATGCCCTTCAGATATGTATTCTGAATTATTTGAGAGATCACCCTACTAGTGGTAATCAAGTTTTTTATTGGAAAAGGATTAATTTGGTTTTCATCCACGCATTGTTCTATAACACAGATGATTTCTTCTGTGTGAAAATGGCTCTCAAATCCACCTAATTTCTGATTTTAATTTTCTGTTATTTTTAAAAATGATGGAAGAAAAAGCATAGGAATAGATGGTCTTTAAAGTATGTTTTAATTTTTTTTTACTATCCTGCTTGTGATTTTTTTCCTCTCATAATTGTCTCTCTTCTCTTCCCATTGTTCTCCTTACTCTTTTAAAACCCCAATGTCTACAATATTTAGTAATAATGCTATTGCTGTTGCAGATGAGCAAGTTTAATGCATATATTTAATCCCAAAAATCTTTAATATTGATCAGATTATTTTTCATAATCTCCAGAGGAAAAAATTTTTTTTCTAAATTAGAAAAATATCTCAATAAATCAAGTTTTCAGAAGAATGCTATGTGTAGTATCTATATATCACATGCAAATTTCCTCATTTTAGACATTTTTTTAAATTCCATTTTCCACTAAGATTACTACATACTCCTACTTTCCCAACCTATTTTAAAACTCACTGACTAAAACTGAATACCATTTTCTTGATAAGGTCTACCTCATTTCAGATTCAAGAGAATGATTTCTCATGTGTTTTCTCAACTTGTTTTGTAGTCATATTCCTTAATTCTTTGTAAACAATACTGCTTTTGCCCAGTAATCTCTTGGGCAGTTAATATTTACTCAGTAAAGGGTGAATCCTTCCTCCAAGATACTAGTGCTAATTTCCACTTTGTTGTTGATTCCTTATTTACAAGAACCATGTCAAAGTTATCTTCTTAGTAATTCCATTTTTACAGCTGTGATAACTTATGATTGAAATTTTCATGCAGATGCTGTAAATCTGATACTTAATATAAATACTGCTTTGATTTTTTTAACCTCAAGTCTTGCATTCACCACTGTATTTTTTAGGATTTTAATGAAAATGTGGAAGATGAAACTCTATGGTGTGCTCAGGGATCCTGGTCCCCCATTTGTTGAGGCTGAGTAGCTAGATGAACCTTAACCTTCTCAGCTGCACTCCTCAGCTTCCCACTGATAAAAATGAAAGCTTGAGAAGATGTGTTACCTCTGCTCACGTAATATCTCTGGAGAAAGTCAGGATATTTCTGCAAGCAGCAGAGAATACAAAAATCTTGTATTTTAGAAATAGATTAGGGAATGAAGAACAGACACAAAAACTCCAAGGAATTGTCAAGGATATTTTTCTATGCTCTGATCTCTCTCAGGATTTAAGAAAAAGGACAGACAATTTCCTGAAGACAGAAGTTACTTAGACAGTTAGTTTTGAAAAAGAAAGAGACCAACAAAAGTTGAAGTTCAAGCAAAGGTATTACTGGCTGTCAGCAGAACTTTCAGCCCACTGTGCCTTCAGTGACCTACTGAGGGCCCAGAACTCTATTAAGACATACCAGAGTACGGCTCTGCTGTGCTCAAACCACATCCCACTCACAGAACACGTTGTCATAAAGTCACAGTCATGTATTACTACAAGTGCTCAGGAGGGACAGTTAATCTCACTGCTTTAACTGCTGAAGAGGCAGTAATGGGAAATTGATAAGAAGCTTAATGTTATTAAACACCTGTAAGAAACCATTTAAAGCAGAAGACAGTTCTGCATCACTGAGGCCATAATCCTGCATCCACACTTCCTGATGTTTTTAGTGGAAAATCCAAAGGTTATATTTTAATAACTGTTGTATACTTCATTTCACTTCAAAACAATACCAGAGAAGTATATATAACAAACAGATAATCATGAAATAGTTATGGAAGTTGATGGTCAGATGGACAAGTCCCATGATCTGCTTGGCAACTGTATTTTGTACATTCAGATTTATCTTTTGCTGAATCAGAAACTTTAGGGAAAGTGTCTGATGACTAAACCAAGGGAATGAAAATGGTTTCTCTGTTTCCATGCAAATTAGGTTATTATGCAATCTTTGTTAAATCACTTCAGGTGTGAGGGTCAGCTTCAGAGAAAGCTGCAAAGGGTTGAAGGCAGACAGGCAGCTGTTGAGAGCCCTCACTTATATTCTATATGACAATGGCACGAACCAGGTTAGGCCCAGCAGCGACAAGGTCATGTGATGATACAGGATTGTGCCTGTGATAATATGACCACTGGAGAGGCAAAGCTTAATACTGTGAGCACAATGAGACGCTGCAACGTCCCAGTGAGCTCTGGGTCAAAGCTAGTTTGAAGCACAGGCAGAGCTGTCACTGATTTATGTTTAGCCTCCAGTTTTTGCAAGTAAATCCTTTAATGGGTCTGACCTTACTTCCTGGTAAACACTTAATGACAATGTATCACGAACCATTTACTTAAAAGGAGGTAAATGATGCTGTATAGTTTGCAATTTTGAAGAGAAGACGCGATTTAGATATTTTAAATTTTATTCAGCTTTTTCTAAATATAGCCTTTACAATTTTTTCCCTTTGATTGTGGGATTCTGCAACAGTGACCAGCAGGCACTGCTAAACTAGAGGTTTCTTGGTAGGCTGGAAAAAGAAGTGCTGGCAAATTTTCTCTATGAGGTTTCCCAGGTGCTGGGGACTCCTTTAGTTCAAAGTCACTGACATAAGCATTTATCATTGCAAAGTCCCTCTTTTCTTTGCATGTTCCATTGCCAGAAAGGAATGAGTCGGTAGACAATTGAGGAATGTTTGAATTTTCTCTGTTTTGATCAGTGGGATTCAGAACAGCCAAAGCATAGGATGATTGTAACTTGAAGGAAATTGGAAAGTAAATGTTCAGTGAATACAGCTTAAAAATGATTAATTTTTTAATAATAGGTATGATTGAGTAAAAGAACTTGTAATTTACCAAATGAATTACATATTTAATATACTGTGTACTGAAAAGCTGAAATTTATTATAAACAGTGAAAATGTTGTTACTCATCAGGAGAAATCCTTGTGAAAGAAAGAAAGGCATGATCTTCCTATGACCGATGCATTTGGTTGTATTGTTCTGAAAATGTCATTGTGTTAAACGTGGGGGTTGGGCAGTGGGTTGGGGAACTCTTGTTCAGGTGGGTGCCTTCTGGCAGCAAGGTGATGCTGAGTTTGTGTTTGCAACCACAGAGTATATTGAGCCAGGAAGACCAACAGGTCTGTAGCATAAGCAGATGAAAGATAAAAAAAAACCATGGCAAGCTGCGACAATCCAATATTCTTTGTTTAACAGAATATTTTGTTTTGATGAATTATTTCACGATTTTCCTCAGACATCTCTACTTTACTGGTGAGTGAGTTGCAGCTTGGTACTCAGACTGTGCAGGGCTATACCAGAAGCTTCCTAGGGAAGATATTTGTTTGGTTTTTGGCTCAACCTTTACTGACTTATAATATTGTAAAAAGAAGGAGAAAACACAAAACTTTTGACATACATTGTAATCACAACAGTGAAAACATCCTTAAATGATTGTTGTTTTAGAGGCAATAGGTCTCCTGAAATTACCCACTGCTGATCAAAAGTGAGATTTTCTTTTCTAAGGATGTGCTATAGCTCTAAATGAGGCTGTTCTCTGCTGCAATAGGGGATCTGATATGAACTAGAATAAACGTATCAATGCACATTGCTATTACTCTAGAAAAAATAGAAGTAATGAACAAAATAGTTTTACCAAGTAAGATCTTTTTCTCATACATTCTGATTCTCAAGAGAACTATTGATTTCCTGTAACCTCAGCTCCATGTCTTCTGAAACACAGAAAAAAATCACTATAAAAATTAGCAATATTTGCTGCAGGCTGCAGCTGTAACTTTCTAACATGTCTCTTTCCCCTCTGATCTCTTCCCATTGTACAGAAAATTCTGTAGTGAAATACAAAAGCCAGCGTTCAGGCAACTTTTCATTTATAATGTTTTCAACTGCTATCTTGAGGGGAGAAGGGCCCATTGTGGATTGCGTAAAGTAAGTACTGTCATCACATGTTTCATGGATTGTTTTGGTGTCATGCTGTATATAGCAAGAGCAAAAATACATGTGAATCCAGCCGAGATAGCAAACTTTCAATGCTGTGAGAGAGCTGAGGTTGAGCTGTCATTCTTCTCTCCGCTTTCTTCATATTTGTGACTTACGAGATAATTTCTTTTGCAGACCTAGAAAGGTATGACAGATTAGTAACATCTTTCACCATTGGAATTTGAGGGAAAGATATGATCCTGACTTGCATGGAGTTGTGCCCATCCAGCTTTAATAGGTGATATCTGGACAGTAAGATGTGTCTGATTCAGTTTCTATGTGCCCTGACTATCTTGAGGCTTGTGTGCACCTGTTTAAAAGCTTACGTAGGTAACTCTGATATTGGACAAATCTTAAATGAAGATAATTATTTTTTCAAAGCAAAACAAAGCTTTTGATTTTTTTCTTGGTCTAAATCTGTTTGTGCCAGCATAGTCTGCTTCAGTAGTGTATGTGCTGAAGGCATTTGCTGGGTTATGGCAGCCGTAAGAGTGCAATCATTTGATTGATGAAAGGACTATGTTACATCCTTAAACTTTGGTACATCATATATCTTAGACTTTGAAAAAATTGTGCAGTTTCATGTCAAGTTAAAAATACAGTGTCAACATGAAATATTAAAAAAATGAAGGCTTTAATTTCTGATTATATTTCTCTGCAGTTGATATGTTGAGATGGAGGAAGAATGAATCTATTTTTTGAGAAGTCTTTCTATTTGTGTCTCATGTCAGAAAGATAAAATAAAAGGTTGATATGAGCAAGTGGAAGGGTGGAGAAAAATTTTCAGTGATTAGGGAAAAGGAAAAGTGTGGCAGGATTCAAATTGGGTGAACAATTTCTAGTGCATTTCTGTAGGCCTTGCTTGACATGACTAGAAGCTGTAAGCTGTAATGTTTATGCTTATAGACTGTGTGAAAATATGCAATGTTTATACTTGTTAGCTGTGTGTCTAGTTATAAGGTTTGAGAATATAGTATGTTTATAGTAAGAAAGCCTTGAGAAACTAGAGATAAAGGTACACCTGCAAATTTCAGAAAGCCCCTAATTATGAAGGCCTCTACATGCCAAGTATGATGTCAGGCCGCGTGGACAGAACATCAGGTCCAATGAACTGGAGACATGAGACGTGTGTACAGACTGAGCTATCCAATCACCTTGTTGTAAGCATGTACCCAAAACAAACTAAATTGTAGAAAAGTTGACTTATTTAAATAATAAATTCAAGCTTGCTGATTCTCATATTGAGCGTCACTTTCTTCCCTCGTCGCGACAGAAAAGATATGTAAAAGAAGAATGATGGAATGATAGGTATCAGAGAGAGGCAACAAAACTTTGCTTCTTACATCTGAATTTTTGTTGGCTATTACGTTCCTTTCTAGTTCTTAACTTAAACTTATTAATTTGAAAGGGTAATGTGGGATTTCCTTCAGTGCACCTAACTGGGAGATACATGATAAACCAAAATCTCTATTACACTTTGGATCTGTTCAGTTAATTCTGTACAGCAAAGAAAAAAGAATCATAAACACGCTCTAATGCTTATCAGATTTTCTTCAGTGGTGTTTTTAATTTTTTTCCCTTGCTTCTCTGAGTGAAAATTTTTGTATCTTAGAGCTGTTTAGCTTACGAAGGAACACTTGAAAATATATCTAAAAAAGCAAACAGTGTTTGCACAGAAGCAGTTAATTGAAAAGAGAGTGAATTCCCTTTCCAAATCAGGAAATCAAGCCATTTTAAAAAACAAACATACAACCACCCCACCCCCCCAACAAGCAAACAAAAAAACCCTCAAACCCACCAGCCACAAAGGACCCAGCATTTGTCAAAGAAACTTGGGTAAAATTTTGGATTTTTAATCTCTGCTCCCCGTCAGTCTTTTTTTTTATTTTTTTTTTATTTTTTTTTTTTTTATTTGATATATGGGACTCCTGGTGGCCTAGTGGTTAGCATGCGGGACTCTCACTGCTGTGACCCAGGTTTGAATCCCAGTCCCCTGGGCAGATGGAGCTCGTTAGCCCTGTGAGGCCATCCATCTATGAGAAGGTCACTCTAAACAAACCTACGTCCTGAGGACCTCACTGCCATTGTCCAAGCTTGCTTGGCCCCGGCAGATGAACCTTAGGATTAAAGGGTGGGCTCAGTTCAGCACATGCTGTGTCTCACCTAAAAAATCCATTGCGCAGGCTGGAAAGGTAAAAGACCTTTCCCAAAAATCTTTGTTCACGAAGACTGGCCATTAAAAAATTAAATTTGATATATGCATCCTTTCACCTGTCAAAACTTGAATGCTTAGATAGTCTGGCATAATAAAGGCCCGAGGAAAAACCACATCTAAAAGTTAATTATACCATAAGCTTAAACATAAGGTCTACTATAAACATTTTTTCCCTGTAACTTCTGAATTGTGGGATTTTTTTGATATTTTCATAATCAAGAGTTCACAAAGGCTGACGGGAAGGGAGTAGGTCTAGGATTAAAATGCTGTGTGCTTGAGGATGAGCATATGGATTTTATCAGTAGTTTTGTTGTTTCAGTCTTCACAGAGCTTTCTCAAGAACTACAATAATGCAGATGCCAAAATTAAGTCTGCTGAAATTGGATTTTTCCTCCTCTATCTGTGGAAATGCAATTAATTAAATATGACAATACAAAGAAAATCCTATTCTTTAAAAGTGCTTTCATTCTGGCTTGCAGCTTTTCCTTCATTCCACAAAATCCTTTGCTTTTCTGATCAATGTAGGGTCAAATGAAGAAAATGAAAAGAACCACTTTGAAATGTGCCTTTGGTATCCCAGAAACTTTAGTGCTGCAGACTGTACTGTTTGCCTGAAGTACTGCATTTCAAAATGAAAACATAAAGTAGAATGGGGAATGATATGTAAATTGGAAAAATCAGTAGCAGTTATGCTTATACAGGACTAAAGACAAACTGCCTTGTTTCTATTCTACAGCTGTAGTTTTAGCTGAAAAGAAATGGGGTTTTTTTGGTCTGTGTATGTGTTTCTCTAAATAAAACATTTCCTAACAACACAAGTGCATATCTTAGAATCGAAGGTCTGTTGAATCTCAGTGTTGGTTCAGATTTTGGAAGCAAAGAGTAAACTAAAGGCAGGAACATTTCTCATGAAATAGAAATGTACCTTACAGAAGGTGACTCTGATATTGAATATGTGAATATGTGTGGATTCATATATGTGAATATGTGAGGTAAGAAATGTTTAGAAAAAAATGCAAAATATGTATCTAAGTCTAATATCAGTCTGTAAGTTTTGTGTCATTGAATCTACCATGATATGGTCAAAATCTAAGAATGACTGAAACTGTTTTGACCAGAGTCATTGCTATCTTTTGATCCATCCATTAAATTATGCATTCAAGGTGCACTTAGAGAAATTTTTGAGCACAATTTAATTATTAGAAGATCTGGGTTAAAATTTCAGGTCTTTAAAATTTTACTGCTTTGTATCTGATGCTAGGGAAACAGTATATTGCTCATGGCATCAGAAACAAGCAGTGGTCATAAATAACAGTAATTTTGTCTTGTATTGATATCTACACTATTTTATAGAACAGTTTAGCAAAAATACATAGAAAGGAAGGACTGACTGCCCCTGGAGGGCTCATACCCTGTGGAACATGTATAACTTCAGTGACAGAGCTCTAGTGAGGTAAATATTCTGAAAAGAATCACAGGTAGTGTAAGGACAGAGAGCAGAATATATAAAAAGAAATAACAGAAAGTAAAAGGTTTAAATTAAATCAGCTTTGGAAAAGTACCCATTTCTAATGCCTGTGAAATAAATTGATTTGGAGAAAGAAAGAGGCTTTGCAAGGTTGTACAAAGTTTGTGTCAAGTTTTATTTATCCCAGCATCAACTTTTCAAACTTCTACATATGTGCCATAGACTTCCTATGGGTTTCTCTTCTCCCAGAAATTTCACCTGTAGTCAGAATGCTTAGTCACAAAAAGTAATGGGTTTTTCCTTTGTGTGTTTTGATTTTGACTTTTTCTGTTTGTTTGTTTGTTTTGTTTTTTTAAATTTTAAAATAAATTTTAGTCATTTTGATTTTGGAAGTAGAGAATGGTAGGTATGAGATTACTTACATACTTTCTGTATATAAGTAATCTTATAACTAATCACTCTTCCTAGATCTACAAAATTATTTCCCTTAGCTCTCCACAGAACATAGAGAACTGTAAGCTGTAAAATGAAGTTGTTGAATTCAGTATGCTATGCTGTGCAAACCAAAGAGACTAATAACATACTGACTCAGAAAAAAATAAGAAAAAGTGAAACTGTACAAAATTATTGAGGGTGGTTCTAAATCACAGCTATAATAGCAAATTTTTATTTTGCATATACCTGTAATTCCAAGGACTGTGTCGGCTTGCGTGTTTAAAGCAGCTCATGATGTAGACTATATGACATAGCTCTGTATGGTGTTTTTAAAATGATAATATAATATAAAATAAATAGGTATAGAGATTTTGACTAATGGACAATTGTTCTGGGAAAGTTAATTCCTAATATTTTTCAGGACAAGGGAGTAGCTTAAAATCTATAATTAATACCATTAATGTGATAGCCATCAACAATTTTTAAAGTTTAAAACCTTTAAAAGTCCCAAATTATATCTTCTACCAAAAAGAAGTGTAATTCATGGAGCATTATTCACTTTTTTCCCTTTCGTGATTCATAGCTCAGATATTAAATTTTAAATTTTCTCACATATAGCTCTCTAATTCTTTTGAAACCCCGGCTTTCTGGAAATCAGGACAGAACATCTATTTTTTTTGGATTTTTATCATTATGACATTTCTAATTAAAAATGTAATGGTACAGTTTAGCCATTTAATATAATGTCTTATTGTTTATATGCTTGTTTGCTTTTGATAAAAACCTAATATTGACAGGAAATATCACATTCATTATAAACACCTCAGAGTTGTACTTGCAAAACTGCCTGCAAAGTAAAAAAACAGATTTAGAGCTATTGGAAAAATAAAATAATTATTCACAAAGAAATAATGAACTAAACATCCTTGATTACACAAATCCCTAGTGCCTTCTTCACATGCTGCAGGCTGTTTGCTATTCTTTAAAAAAAATAAACAGGGATCTTAGGAGACTACTTACATAATTACACTTTTAATTATTACTTTATTAGTTTAAATAAATGGTAATATTTCCATATGTCCATGGCTGTGCTTCAGTTGTTTGTTAACTCACAGAATGTTAAACTATTGATCTATGCTAAAGCTTTGCACTATCCACCCCAAGACTGTGGCAGCAAATGAGTTTGCCTTCTGTACTGCTGTAGTTTTCTTAAAATAAACAGTTTTTAAAAAAAAAATTACCCAGAGGAATCAGGAAACGACTCACATGCTCAGCAGAGTAAAGATGAGATCTTCATTAATTCCAGTCATGAAGGTAAAAGCCTTAGCTGTTGACTGCAAAATTAGACTTCCTAAGTTATTGTTTATCTTGTACTATAGAATTAAAATTAGCTATGCAAATAGTCTCATAGTCTCTGATTCCTAAATCAAAATTCATGACAGAGAATACATTCAACATGCCTCTTTTGTGCACCCCACACATTTTTTCTCTCACTCACTGTATCCTGTGACACAATCCAATATTTAATCCATCACAGTTTGAACAAGGTGGATTCGTTTAAGGAAGCAGGTGGGCAGATACAAAAAACTAGATATCAGATTGCATGCAGCATCAGACTCTTACCCAATTATGGGGTGGAAATAGAAAAGTGACTTGCAGTAAAGTTGAATATGCTCAGTGTAAAGTCTGTGACACAATCAGTGTAAAATCAATGTAAAATTAGGCATTATGTGACACCATTTGATTACATCACTCCCTAGCTTGTAATGGTCAAGACATGGATGGATGGATGACTCTGTGTCTGTGAGCTGGTGTAATTCATCCCCTTCAGACCTGCATGGCATATTGCAGACTTCAGACTCATGACAGAAGGTAGCCAAGGCTTCATTCATCTGTCTGCAAACAATAAGCCATGTTAGAGGTACGGCAAATTAAAGCATTAGTGTGTCATAGAGCAATGGATTTATGAAATTTGGAGCTAACAGTTCTTTCTGCTTATTTCAGCTTTCACCACTGAAGAAAGATTAATACAGGACTTCACTGATGCCTTCCTAGACTCAATACAAAACATCCTTTATTGGTTTTGTTACAGTCCATGTATCATCAGTAGGGCCAAAACTTCCTGTCTCACTGTCTTCAGATTTTCTAAGATCCTGTACATTGACATTAAGAGATTTCAAAAGATCAGACCCATGAAATGGATCTATTTGGTAAACACCTATGAATCTGTAGCATCCCAGTGCTCACAGAGACTGATATATCTGTGCGTAGGTGAGTTCAGAACATCCTACATACTGCACTGGAATTTACAGTCTCAACCTTATAATACTCATTTTGCCAGGGAAGGAGCACCAATGGCTACTGGATGTGGAGACCTGCAAATATCCATTCACATTTTTGTCTTTGTCATGTTTTCTGTCTGTAGGTAACCTGGTCAGCTGGCCTGGGTTTGAGAGCTGGTAAGCACACGGCCAGCAGACAGACGTACTGTTTCTGGCTGGTGACTCATTTAGCAGACTGCACTGATATGTCCTACCAAGTCATGAGTGCTTAGATGTGCAGGAGATTGTAGCAATTACAGGCTGTGAGAGCAGATCTTTTCGGTGGTGGTGGCTAAGAACATGTCAAAACTGACTGCACAGAGAATATTGAATTCAGATCAAAATCTGTCCGTGCTTGTGTAGCGCTCATGGACAAATCTGAAGGTACCTAAAAGTCCTCAAAGCTCCAATACGAATAATCTGGCCAAGAATTTTTCACCTTCTATTACCATGGTGCAGGACTGTGGAACGATTTTTTTCACATAGCTAAGAGTTATCACAAAATTCAGCACTCTTTGGTCCCAGAATAAGGCACTATTCTTTGACCTTCTTTTCTCTACAGTAAATACATTGCAAACTGTAGGTTAAAAATTAATAGTACTTTCCCACAGCACAAAACTTCTTAACCATTCAAGCTGTCATTCTGTACATGGTGTTGTCCCAAGAGAATAAAGAGGTGTCATACAAGTTATGCAGTCTGGTGTAAGCAGCACCACCATAAGGAGAAAGATGCAGCCTCTCTCTGTCATTCCCCAGTGAGTTGACCGGGCCAGCCTTGTCTCTGTCATCATTTGACATTCAAGTGTTATCTCTGTCATAAACAGAGTGCTTATGAATGTCTATATGTAGAGCAAGAGCTCTTTTGGGAATGGACTTTCTCTTTGTACGTGTTTACACCATGGCCACACTTGTGAGACGTTAACTGTCTGAAAGCCTGCAGAGCTGTGGCAGAACAGGAAAGTAGTGAATAATGATAAGAAGCATCTAGTCTGTTGAGTAAAACCAAATTTGAGTTATAAGTTACAATTACAAATGTCTGGAATGCAGAATAGACCTTACTAGCTCTTACTTGCCAAGCAAACCAAACGTGCATGGTTATAAATCTTATTGGACTGACAGTTGTGCCTTACTGGTGACTGAAGAAGCTAAATGCTGTTATAATGGGACCTGATAAGTCTCACTTCCAAAGTATGTTTTATTACATTCTAAAATAGCTTATATTAAACTAAGCAATGAGGAATTTAATTACTTCAAAGCCTGTTGATTCATTATGAGACAACAGCTTTTTAGAGTGATATTTGGCAGTTGACTCATCTCAGAATTCATGCAAAAATCATGCAGCACTGAATATCTGAGAAAAATACAACCACTGCTGTAAATAACAACATGCTGCTTAGAGAAAAATCAATATCAAAACAAGTATCAGTTTCCTATTCACACATAAAAAACCACTGTATACACAATTACTTTTTCTGTTGCTCACAAATTTACTTGTTTTTTATATTGGGATTTCTTTCCAAATGCAACCCCTCATAAATAAAACAGTTGTGTAGGTAGGCAGTTGTCACTTACCAAATTAGACCTGAGTCCCTTATTTTGTTTCACCTGCTGTTATAATTAGGCCCAGGAGAAAAGAAAGACAACTGTTTTGCTTCTCTGACATTGTATCATCTTATTTGCATTAAAACTGAAAAAAGCCCTTACAGTTGCAGAGTATTGTTCTATAGCAGAACCTGGCAGAGCCAATAAGGTTCAACACAGACTGACTCTCTGCCTGCTGTGCCTTGACATTTCAGTACATGTAGTATTACTCCACATTTATTATGATTTAAAATGTATATGGTGTGAGCTTCTTGCTCTTCTTGAAACTAAATCCATTTTAATCACGTGGAAGGATCCCAGAATAACAAAGTTAACTCATTTTAGGTCATGTATCATAAATTAATTTTATACCACAATGTTTCTTACATGCAGAGATATGAGGAAAAATAAATAATTTTATGCTTACACCCTAGGAATGTACAGTTAGAAAGCCTGAATTCAGGCTTGTTAGAGCTGTGTTTTCACGTTAGCTGTAGGCTTGAGCTTGTACTTCAGCCTGAAGTCCCTGGCTATCCTCTGTGCCTGTGTGTTGGCTCTCACTTTGGTGCTAACCCGCAGTGAGCCTGGAAAGGGCAGCAGAGGAGGTCTGGGACAGCAAGAGGGGACCTGGTGCACATTTGACTCCCCTGCAGGCAGCATACGCACAGCTGGACTGACTTCCATGGCTGTACCCAGACAGGGGTGTCTCTTAAAGTAATCTAATAATTTAGTAACCCTGCATAAAACCAGGAGTGCAGTTCCTGTCTTGTGTAAGCACTGTGCTACTCATCCAAATGTACTGTGCTTGATGTCATGGAAGCTGCATCTTCACCAAAGCCTCCAAGACCTGATGTAATACAAATACATAGCAGATTAAACAGAACAAGTGCTATTATGGCCAACAGTTTGGTACAAAATCACAAATGAATTAGCTCTCATTATCTGTATTTATTTCTTCAATAGCCAATAACCTCTCCTTTACTTATTTTGTCTTCTTGCTTATGGCAAAATCCCATGGAAAATTAAGGAGATGCTGTGTTGGCCAAATCATGACCTCTTCCTTTGCTTTAAAGTGACATAGATTTTCTGCTAAAACAGTAATGACTCATTAACAGACTGAGAGGTACACTGATGGTGAAATCCAACACGTTCATAATGCATAAAGTTGTCAAAAATCCTTTCCAAATTAGGCTATTTCTGGGACTATATTAATTTTCGTTTAAAATAGGTACTCGTACATTAAAAAAAATTGACTAATCTACATTTGAATGGTTTTGGTGACTTCCCAAATTGGCATATGAATACCTATAATTTCTGATTTATGCTCCAAAACTGAACTATCCCTCAAAATACTAAAGTAAAAACAAAAGCTAACCATGGTAATTTACTCTAGTCTGTGTGTTTGAAACACACAGACAGGACGTAAACTTAAAAACAACCATAAATGAATTTACTATGATATCTTTTTATACTAAATTGGCTGTAAAAATGCTCTTAAAATGAAGAAAACACTACTATTAGCTACCTTTTTCCTTTTCCAGTACTTACTAAAAGGCTCAAAAGTTAATATTATTAATGATTTCCCCAAGGAAGTGTTTGGTAAATTTTTAATGCTGTAATCTATATGCAACAATCGGAACACTGTTAAACTATTTCAAATTGTTTGCCTAAACAAATGAAACTTTGATAATTATATGACCAAACAAAATCCATCAAAGTGATAATCAGTGTTCTTGCTAAGTGTGCAGATTCTCAGGTGAAAGCCAGTATGGTGCAAAGGAGGGAATGAACAGATTTACACAAATTTCCAGTTTAAAAAAAAAAGGCAAAAAAAAAAGGCAAAAAAAAAATCAACAAGAAACATCAGCAAGGGGGAAAAGAGAAACTCTTTACATAAAGTGAACCTGTACAGAAGATGCCAGAAGAAGATGTATCATGGAAGAAAAGCCAGAGTCAAAAATAAACTTGTTTTGTTTTATTTTATTTCTTAGATGAGTGCTTCTCTATTCTCTGGAGCAGAGTGAAATGTCTGAAGGGAGTTCTCTTAGTGCTTGAAGAACAGCTTCTCCATTATTTCAAGACTCCACTCACCAATTTTATTTTGTTATTTTAAAATCAAAGAATGTGTGTATCTCACATTGCAGATATCCTGACTGACTATAAAAAGCAATCCCTAGATATTGCAGATATCAGTTCTAGCACAACAAACTGCATATATATACATACATATATATGAAAAAAGAAACAACCAAAATACTGCTTTTTGTGCTCACAATGAAACTCTTGTAAACTCCTGCCCCTCTACTGTCTTTAGCAGCTCAGCCACATGAATTTTAGGGCGGTTTGTACCAAAGCCCAGGACTTTTGACTACACGTCACAACTACAAAAGTCAGAAATCTCACAGAGAAAGAGCTGTCAGAATCTTTTTTTTTCTAGACTACTGCTGCATTTCCTGTGTTCCTGTGCTGAAAGCAGCAGAGCAGTGTTTGATAAATGGGTAATGCACTAACAAACCTTAACTCTGCCTAGCTAAATAAGTCATTATAATCTTAAATCTTAAGGAATAAACTTCTCCTTAGGTCAGCAGGTACCTAGGACATCACAAAAATGCAAGTTTGTAGTAGAATCTTCCCTTTGATTAATGTCCTTCATTCCTTCCAGCCTCAGTGCAGGTCATGTTACCCTAATCCTTTAGTCCTGTGAGAGCATGCCAGGGGCCCAGCCTGGATCCCTCAGGTACAAGCCAGCCTTCACTGAGGAAACTTCTTTCCCCTGCCGCATGCTAATCAAATAAAGCAGGCAGGATCACTGCTGATTTTTAATTGTCAGACAGAATTCCATAATTAGGAATTGGGGTTCATGTACAGGATTGCACACACTGATCATCAAGGCAGGTGTGCTTTTAACTAACTTTCCCAGTAAGAATCAAAAAATAAATCCTATTTGCAGTGTCAGAGTCAATTAAAGAATGGGGTTTTTCTACA